GGGGCCCTGGGTGCTTAGATCCTCCCACAGACTCAACAAGGGGAGTCTAAACTATGACCCCTGGAGACACAAGGAGCCTGTCCTTCCTCTGACAGCTTCTTAGGGACGTTGGGCAGGGAGGGGACTCTCTCTCTAATCCCATCTGGCAGCTTCCCTCACAGAACCTGTCACTTCCCCTGTGTGTTCCCAGGTGCCCCAGTGGGATGGTTGAGAAGAATCCCTGTACACCCTGGAGAGATCTCATGTGTGTCCCCAAAGAATCAGGTACAAAGGCCACTGGGGAAGCCCCAACCACTGGAGAGCCAGTGACCACCACTAACCTGGGGACTCCCACCTGTCTGTGTCTTTCTTCAGGGAATAAAAACAGCTACAACTGGGTCATAGTCCCAGCCTCATTACGGGTTGTGGCCTTGGTTGTTGTGGTCTTGGTTGTTGTGGCCTTGGTTTTTGGGGTGATTTTAACGTGGAAGAAAATACCACTTTACCTGAAAAGCATCTGTCTACGTAAGTATCAGCTGAGGGAAGGGATCTGGGCTTCCGCCCCCACCACAAACAGAAATGCCTCCCCACCTCCCAAATCCTAGTGTTTTCCCCGCCTGGCTCTATCTTTTTCTCTGTGATTGCCCCTCCACCACCCACCTCATGAGCACCCCACGGGGACCAGAGTCTCACCAGCCCCTCTCTCAGGGCTGACAGTCACCTCATGTCCCAGCCAGTTTGTCAATCTCCAGGGTGCAACCAGGGCAGAGGAGCAGTCAGCTCCGGGACTGGGGACAAGGGTCAGGATGAGATGTGGTCAGGGGGTTTACACAGCTTTGGCCAGAGGAGGACCAGAGATTCTACACGTGATGATTTTTACTCTATTTCCCCTTCTGCTCCCCCTCCCAAGGATGCCCAGAGTTGGCATGGCCCCATTCCTGTCCCCAGGCCCTTGGCTCTGTGTCCAGCATCTGAACCCCAGCCCACCCCTGTCCTGGCCCTGCCTCGGGGAGAGAGGTGCTGGGGGAGGCCCCTGCCCACTCGCTAAGGGGCCGTGCCTTCTCTTGCAGGGTGTGGAGGGGATCCCAAGTGCGTGGATACAGTGAGTGGGTTGCTCTGGGACCTGGGGGCACCGGGTGCTCAGGAACTGCTTCCCTCCCACAGCAGAGCTGGGTGGACCCATCCCCAACTAATCCTGCTCCACTGCCCAGACTCTCTACATTGGCCTGGGGGCTCTGGGTGGACTGTAAGGGGCAAGTGTTCCTTTTGAGGCCCCCACAGGCTAGTGGGCCGTGATGTAGCCCTGTCCTTCCTGCTGCCTGGAGACATCCCCAGGACACAGCCCTAGGGTGGGGGTCAGATTGGGGGGTGACCTC